GTGGTTCTCGTGTTGTTTCCAACCGACCCCAAAACAAGGCTTTGGGTTTCACTATCAAAGCTAGAGAAAGAAATGTCAGACAACATCTCAAACTCTTTCTCCTTACCTTTCCCATTTTTGTTCAAAGAGATGGCCTTTGTGGAGTTTTCGTTTGTCGTGGAACACACTTTACCTTTTTTTTAAAAAGTCTCAGCTGGTTGTTTTTGGAGAAAGAGACAGACTTCCCTTTCTTATCTTGACCCATAAAAGTACCACGCATTTGCATTTGATTGGGTCTTTCCTTTTTTGGAATTCCCTCTAAAACAGTATCTCGGGCAGTCAACTTAGTAGTGGGGTCCACCAGGGCAGCACTTTTTTCACCAAAGCATGAAAGAGTAGGGGGAGTAGCATCGCCTGTACTGTCACCTCCTACAGACAAAAAATCAGAAGCATTGGGAAGAGAAAGGGGGTGAAAAACATTAACCGTTGGATAAAAAAAACCATCTTGCACCCTCCAAATATCCACTGGGTTCAAAGCTGCACCTTCCTTTCCTTTGTAAAAAGATTCCGCTGCTGGAAGCTGCTGTGGACCGTTACTTGCTTTCCGACGAGCAACGAGCTGTCCTGAAAAGTGCTAACATGGGCAACAAAAGTCTGGTCCAGATTGACAATCTTCACTTCCGCTGGGATGAAACCACAATAGTTCCCCTTCACTTTAATGACAACTTCTGTGCATTCAATGAGGGAAGAGTTAGCATCTGCATAGTCTAAAAAGCCTCCAAAACAGTTCCCAATTGCTTGAAAGGTGGCCAGACTCNCTTTGGGTTTCACTATCAAAGCTAGAGAAAGAAATGTCAGACAACATCTCAAACTCTTTCTCCTTACSTTTCCCATTTTTGTTCAAAGAGATGGCTTTTGTGGAGTCTTCGTTTGTCGTGGAACACACTTTACCTTTATTTTAAAAAAGTCTCAACGGGTTGTTTTTGGAGAAAGAGACARACTTCCCTTTCTTATCTTGACCCATAAAAGTACCACACATTTGCGTTTGATTGGGCCTTTCATTTTCTTGAATTTCCTCTAAAACAGTACCTCGGGCAGTCAACTTAGTAGTGGGGTCCACCAAGGYAGTACTTTTTTCACCAAAGCATGAAAGAGTAGGGGGAGTAACATCGCCTGTACTGTCACCTCCTACAGATTGGGAAGAGAAAGGGGTGAGAAACATTAACCGGTGGATAAAAAAAGCCATCTTGCACCCTCCAAATATCCACTGGGTTCAAAGCTGCACCTTCCTTTCCTTTGTAAAAAGATTCTGCTGCTTCCGACGAGAATCTGCCGTGGACCGTCACTCGCTTTCCGACGAGCAACGAGCTGTCCTGAAAAGTGCTAACATGGGCAACAAAAGTCTGGTCCAGATCAACAATCTTCACTTCCGCTAGGATGAAACCACAATAGTTCCCCTTCACTTTAATGGCAACTTCTGTGCATTCAATGAGGGAAGAGTTAGCATCTGCATAGTCTAAAAAGCCTCCAAAACAGTTCCCAATTGCTTGAAAGGTAGCCAAGCTCCAAAGATGAAGGGGGATGTTCCTAAACTTGATCCACCCACCATAAGAAGGAACAACAGTAAAACGTCCGTGGATTAGCGGATTCCAGAGTTCAACTTTTAAAGTCCTGGGGCCGAAAGTGACCCAGCCTTTATTGCTAGCAAACAATCTCGCCGATTCTTCAGAAGTRCACTTAAGGAGGGCTAGGTTGGAAAGCATTTATAATGAAGGACTCTTCTATCTGTTTCTTTATAAACTCAAGTATTCTCCCCCAGTCGTCATGAAAGTCTCTTCTTGTCACCACAACTATTCTCTTCCAATCAAGAGCTCTCACTTCTCTAGGTTCTAGAGGGACGTTCTCACTAAAGGCCTCGTGATACTTAGAGGACCCCTTCACAGCTTCTGCAAATGATCGGAATTTTCTTGGCGTCTGGACCTCGGGGGATTTCTGGGATTTTCCATTCATGAAGTCTAGAAGCAGCTGTTTGAAAGCCTCCCATCCTTTCGACCTTTCCCAGAGGGAACGACTAAGTTTATTTTGCTGCCTCCTCCTTGAACTTAGGTTATCTCCAAGAAGCTCCCTCTTTTGTTCGTTGCTTTCTACATCCAAATGAAATCATCCATGCAGTCCGTTTTCCTAAAGAACTTTTGTGTGTTGGGCACCAGAAGCAACTCCTCAATGCCATCAATAAGCCAAACTGCTACTACTTCTTCTACGGGGAGGACAAAAGTTCTTTTTCAGGTGTGATTCTATAATTCTCAGAAAGCGGCCTCTTTTTTCAAGGTCAAAAGTACACGTGAAGACCTTATTTTCTATCTTTGCAGCGGTCTTCGACGTCATGATGGAGGACTACAGAAGTGGCACTACAGGAAAAGGCTGTCATCAGAGAGAGAGAGAACAGAGAGATGATGGAGGGGAGGAACGGTTGAGAGGCGAGGGAAGGGAGGAGAGAGGAGGGAGCCATGAGGAAGATTAYCGCAACTTTATTCTTGGTCTAGTGTCATTCTTATGTTTGATCACAAAGTCGAATCTTTGTAAAAAAGAAAGCCATCGAGCATGCATTCTGCTCACTGATTTTTGTGTGTAAAGGAACCTAAGGGAGAAATGGTCWATAAATAAGATGAATTCTTGGCTTAGTAAATAGTGCTCCCACTGTTTTAGAGCTCGAACAAGGGCATAAAGCTCTTGTTCATAGGTGCTCCAATTCTGTTGGGATGTACTTAATTTCTCGCTAAAGTATTCAATGGGATGCTGGTGTTGAGATAGATCTGCTCCAATACCAACCCTAGAGGCATCAACTACGACTTCAAAGGGTTGGGTAAAATCCAAAAGTTTGAAAACCGGGCTCTCAGTTAGTTTGTTTTTTAGTGTAAGGAAGCTATTGGTTTGATCCTTGCCCCATTGGAAACTGCCCTTTTTTAGACCGTCAGTGAGGGGGCCAGCTATGGTGCTAAAGTTTCGAATGAATTTTCTGTAAAAGGATGCTATTTCGAGGAAGCATTGAATTTCTAGATTGTGGTTCGAGCCAATCAGAAATGTCTTTTATTTTTTGCGGATCCATTTTCAGCCCTTGGTTACTGATTATAAATCCCAAAAATGATATCTCCGATTCTCCAAAACCAAAAAGAGACATTTTTTTGAGATTTAGGACCAGTTTGCTAGTGTGTAGAGCTGCAAATAAAGTTTCTAAGTGTGCTAGGTGATCATTTCGAGTTTAGTGTGCTAGGTGATCATTTCGAGCTTTACTATATACTAATATGTCATCAAAATACACAACAWTAAATTTATGCAAGTAAGGAAGAAGAACCTGGTGCATAAGTCTCGTGAAGGTACTTGGTGCATTTGATAAGCCGAAAGGCATGACCAGCCACTCGAACRACCCTTCATTGATTTTGAAGGCTGTTTTCCATTCGTCCCTTGGACGGATGCGTATTTGGTGGTATCCGCTACGGAGGTCTACCTTAGAAAAGAATTGTGGGCCTCCCAATTAGTCTAGGAGGTCGTTTTTTCGAGGAATAGGGAACCGACACTTAACAGTAATCTTGTTGATCGCCAAGATCTGTCTTTTTTAGGTGTGAGGAGAGCGGGTACCGCACATGGGCTAAGGCTAGGTTGTATATGGCCTTTTGTTAGGAGGTCCTMAATTTGGTCATGTAGGATTTTGTATTCTGCAGGGCTCATRCAATAGTGAGGGAGATTGGGTAATGTAGTCCCTRGAATAAAGTCAATATGGTGTCGGATATCTCGAAGTGGAGGTAAGGAATCTTGGGGTTGTAGGTGGGTTGGAAATTTTGTAAGTAGTTGATTGATTTCCGGAGGTGTCTAGGATGGGTTTAGGTGATCAGTTGCACCAAAGTCTTTGACTACCAAACCCAGAAATAGGGGTAGAATGGTGCAATAGTAGTTGTTTAGCAGTGCACACATGAAAAAGGTTTCCTTTTAACAACTAACTTAAGTAAAGTTAACTACTTGTTAGCTACATTATTTTCTATCTACTAACCCCTTGATCAGATATGTCAATTTGTAAATGAAGGATCTGCTTCTCTTGGCAGCAARTAGCCAGTTAAAAAGAGTAGAATTCTCACTTCCTTATTTGTTAATGAAACAAACTTTTCGTATAGATAATTGAGAACTTAACATCGATAAAAAGAAATTAAACTCCAACTAGGAGTATAAAACCGAAAAAAATACACTACAACTTTACAAGAGAGAACCTCAATTGATTGTGATATCCTAAAAAGAGTAGCTGCTAAATAAAGAAGATAAACAAACACCAATAAGAGGCTTTATATTTAGTTACGTCCATTCTTTGACACCACTTAGAGCAGCATTTGTCTTCAAATATCTCATGGTTTCTTTCCAACCACATTTATGAGATAATTGCTTTAACCATGTTTTACCCGTATCAACTCTACCTAGCTTTTGAATTTGATACCAGAAAGAAGTTGAAGTACCCCGTCCTTAGCATGATTGTCCATTACCAATAAATACTGGAGTTTTGAAACAGAAACTACCAACGGTGGGCAAACACACAATGGAGAAAAACATGATTTTGGTCTTCATTTGTCTTCGCACATAATACGAACAAAGATGATTGTAGGGTCATTGTAGGCTGTTATTTTTAAAGTTCTCTCTGCTGTATTCAAGCCATCATTTTGTAAAATCCATACTAAGCTATTAACCTTCTTTGAGMTTTTGGATGAAGCTTTCGAGATTCTTGGAGAATAATTGTGAGAGCTTTTACCAACAAATAAACTGAAAAAATAGCCTGAAGTATCGAGCTTCCAAACTCCCCTATTCCAACCTCCTCAAATTTCTTCTAGTAATGATCTTCCAGGCCAACAACTGCTATGCCAACTATTACACACAAATACCCTTTGTTGACAGCAACCCAAGGCAATTGTACACCAAAAGATTTTCCATCTACCCATACATCTTCCCAAAATAAAGAAAAATAGCTAAAGGATGAACCAAACCTTGATAACATTGACAAGTTTGTTTAGCTGCTCCACAACTTGTCTCAAGACATTTTCTGTTCCACTAACAACAATGGTAAAGAGAGCCTTATCCTTATTCAATCCAACAGCAAGGGACTCAATGTTGTAACCTCTCCTAGCAAAGACACCCGCAATTCGGTTTATTATTCCACTTTCATCACCGACAAACACAGATATAGTATGTCGCTTCACCCTGAAAGCAACAACGAATACAATAAGTCACCTTGAACGGTGTAACATGCACGATCAGAATTTTAGAAAATACAATAATTGAGGAAAACAACCCCTTTTGGCACTTAAAAATATGTAATAACCCAGAAAATAAAAGGAATAAGTTAGATTTTTTCAACAAGGAAATTAAAAGAATATTAAATTAAAATTTTAGTCCTTGATATTTGATAGTTGTATCTACTTAAATCAGTGATAGTTGTATCTACTTAATGAAGTTTAAGAAGTTTCAATTATGTTCTTGAACTATCGATTTTAATTTAAATGTTATTAACAGTGTTACTTAGATGTTGACGTGGCATGCGAATTTGATTAACAAGCGATAATTTGGCATGACATGACACATGTGAAGAGGCCAACTACATAAAATAAGAGCGGACGGCCAAAAAAATCTTTATGTGGCAAATGGGCGAAGTCCATTTCAAAACAAATCTTTTCGCCTCTTATTTTATCTAGTTAGCCTACTTCATCCCACCACTCATTATCACATCTTGTCGAATTCAATCAGCATGCACATCAACGTTCAAGTATCAGCACTAATAGCAACAATTTATTAGAAATTAAAGTTCATATAAGTAATTGAAACCTTTTAAAATTTAGGAACTAAATAAAAACCGCTATCAAAGGTTAGAAACTAAATTTATAATTGAACTTTAAAAAGAGTYAGATGAAAACGAGTTGCAACATGCATTCAAGTTGGATGCAGGTTAGAGAAAATAAAGATGCATTCAAGTTCAAAAAGAGTTAAAAAAAAATTGAAATGTCCATRCTTGGCGTCCAAAATTGCAACGTGCATTCAAGTTCATAATGTAAATTGATGAAATTGAGAGTTCAAGGATAACTTTACTAGATTTTTATGAACAACCAACGAAAAATAAAAATCAAATCAAATAAAAAAAGACATCAAAATCAAAACAAACCGTGAAGCTATGAAACGCACAATAACTGTTACAATAAATGGTTAACTGGAAATAAACAATGKAACAAGACATTAACGAAAAGCAAAAACAAGAAGTACAGAAATTGAAAGAGAATGAACCAGGATTTTTCAAGCACTTACGTAGAACGAATGGCAGAACGGGGGGATTCGGTTACAGTCACTGCATTATCATTAACAGCAGCAGAAGAGAGCTGCAGCCTTTGGAGATGGAAACGGTTCCATTTCTTCACTTTCTGGAAGTTGTTAGTGATCAAACTTTTGGAGAACGCACTTCTGAAGTTAACTGATGAACAGCAAGGGTTGTGAGGTTTTACGGGAGCTGGGGAGGAGGCTACGGCGGCGGCCATGGCGGATGGATTACTGGTTTCGGAAGAGGGAGAGAATAAGAGAGTGAGAGAGAGAGTTAAAAGGAAACCGCACAGCCACGTCGCATGCCTGCCCAGAAAGGGCATTTTAATAAATTTGTCCTTCCTCGCACATTTATTTTGTGTGTTTTATCTTTTTATTTTTTTTGCTAATGGTGTGTTTTACTTTTAAACTTTAGTCAGATCGGTGGTTTTCCATTGAGTCTTTTGTTAGGGGTGAAATTAGAGTAGGTCATGTGGCCCTATTTTCTATAAATACGTGTATGAGACTATGCTAAATTCACTACCAAGTAAAAGTCGAGCTTGCCATCGACTTGGATGGACATATATCATTTGCGTAAAATATGCTGACTATTAGGTATGAAGGGAAGTAACGCTTCCCAAAATTTCCCTCTAAAATATAGGATCCATTTTTACGAAGGAACACACTCGTTTCTAAGCTCGGCCAAACTTATACTTCGAAGTCTATATAGTCAAGCACCACATAGGTGCAATGTTTTATCAACAGGTCAACAGCTCGATTTGACTAGCATTCACCTCGGATTTGAGATCACCTAATCAAAGTCCTACATCAACCATATATAGTATTCAAAAAAAATTAATTTATCACTTATGTTTTAATATTTTTTGTTTTTCTTCCTCCTCTAAATTTCTGCCAATTCAGTAAATATTATGTCACATAAATCTATTATTAATCGATTTTAATAATTACTATTGATGGGAGATTAAATTCAAAAATGTTAAAACATATATATATATATATATAACATTTAAGCTTGGTTTGTTTTGGATCCTAAATTTCATCTACACAACACTCATATTGTGTTTTGATTTTAGAAAATGTTCCATTTAAAAAATCCATCACATTAGTTTTTCGTAAACCACTTTAATATAAAGATGATATAGTTTTCTTTCATTATTGAAATTTGTTTTTGCAAGAAGTTTGCAGGCTAGGATCCGAACGAGCTTAATTGAGCGAGATGAACGAGAAAAGTTTAGCAAGGAGACCTACCAATAAAGAAACGGCGCTGTAGCGCTCATGTCAGTTTGAATATCTAGGTCGGTTTTAAAGGGAGTAACGCTTCCCAAAATTTCCTTCTAAAATGTAGGATCCATTTCTTACAAAGGAACACAATCGTTTCTAAGCTCGACCACACCAATTCAGACTAAGAACTAACTTATACTTCAAAGTTTACGTAGACAAGTATCACACAAGTACAATGTTCTATCGGCAGGTCAACAGCTCGATTGGCTAGCATTCACCTCGGATTTGACGTCAACTTATCACCTTGTCCAAAGTCCTACATAAATCATCTGTATTGTTCAAAAAAATTTTAATTTATTACTTATGTTTTAATATAATTTTTTTCCCTCTATATATATATATACCATTTAAGCTGATTTCTTTTCGGTCTTAAATTTCATCTTAGACAACACTTATATTTGTGTTTGATTTTAAAAAATGCTCCATTTAAAAAATTCATCATAAAGTTTTTCGTCAAGCACTTTAATAAAAAAATGATATAGTGTCTTTTTTTCATTATTGAATTTTGTTTTGGCAAGAAATTTGTAAGCTAAGATTCGAGCGAGCTGAATGAGACAAGTTTAGCAAGGAGACCTACTAGCAAAGAAACGGCACCTCAGCGCTCAAGTCAGTTTGAATATCTAGGTTGGTTTTAAAGAGAATTGCTTACCTATTTGGGTAAAATAAGAATGTGTTTATAGAGGTTTGGATGGAGATCTCCATTACGAGAATCACTGCGGGGATCGCAGTGCAATCGTAGCAGTTATGGAATCCACTTAAATTACTCCTTGAATATATGGGTGAGGGAGTGCTCCTTTCTTGGAGCTCGGGCTCATCAAGTCGAAGGTCCCTTCTGTTGTTACTGTGGCCAAGTTGGGTTATCGATCTCCGCAGCTTGGGGACCCGAGACCCACATGGAATTCCTCGATTTTTCCCAACAAATTTAATATTGCATAGAGAAAAATAATAACTTTACGATATTTTAAAGATAATATGGCACGATATGAGCTAGAGGAGCAATTAGCGAAAAGGCTAAGGAAAGAGAATGGGATAAGAATAGGAGAAGGCATAATAGTGGTGGGCATGTAATGGCAAAGGCAACAACGATTGACATTGATGGTGAGAAAGGGACGACATGGAGAATTGTCCCATCATTTTTATACATTGATGTCGTATCACTTCTAAAACGTTACGAAATTATTATCCTTTACCATATTAGTATTAAAACTAATTTTAAAATATTGCATCATTTTTAGATGTCAAACAAAATAATGATGGACTCGAATGGAGCATTTTCTAATTCTCTATGGAAAATGTACAAGAATTCATGTGGATTTTTCTTTTTATTTTTCTCTTTTCTAATAAGTTCATATTGAGTGGAAACATAATTGGAACTCCAAGAATTAAAATGATATTTAATCCAACAAAAACTAGAATGAGTTTATTTTAAAATTAATGTCTAAAGATATCCTTTAATTTTCAATATCTTTCCACTTTTAATTTTATATTTAATGTTTCAAAAAATTTCAAACAACCTCTTCAACAGTGTGGTCGAAATTAAATAATAGAGGAACGATGTGACATTTTATTATTATTATTAATTTTTAATAAAATCTCTTTTCAAAGATTTTAAAAATTGTTCACAACTGTTGAGCTAAACAAGTTGCCAATATTGTTTGGGATGCAATTTTTTTAACTTTTAATTTATTTGTTTTATTAACCACTCGAAATTAACTCAAAACTTTTTTTAGTACAATATTGTGGGGTGGAGTTCAAATTTATGACCTTCTAATCAGAGATAGATACCTTAACCATTTGAGATATGCTCATTTGGCAACTCAATACTTAAAACATTAGCAATTTTTTATTAAAGTTAAAAGTTTGGACCTCCACATATATATGTGTAATATTTATTCTAAAGATTATTTTTATTGTCAACTCTCGATAGTTCGTAGTATATTTATTTTGTATTATTTAAAATGTCAAACTTTTTTTAAATATAGCATTAGTTTGGCTTTTCTCGAAGTATTTTATTTCATATTTGAGTATTTTATTTTTATTTTTTAAACTTTATAAATTTTTGGAATAAAACGCACAAGTATATTTAGGAGTGTTAAAAAAATCCGACAACCCGACGAACCCAATCGAACCCTTTAAATATACCATTAGTTTGGGTATCGGGTTCAACCTTTAAAAAATCGGGTTAAGCCAACCCAACCTGAATTTATGCATATATGTGTATTTTTCTTAATTATATATATAATAATATATTTATCTTCAATGTCATCCATCCATTTAGTGTTAATCCTATCATTCATTTAACGTTTTCATATTATCTTCTTCCATTTTGTATCTTAATTTCAACCGTCAATTAAGTTTTAATCATAACTCCTCGTCGCCGCTGTGATAATAAAAAGAAAAAAAACACAAACCGACAACCTAACCCGACCCAACCTGAAAATATTGGGTTGGGTTAACAATCCAATTCAAACCCGACAGTTCCTATATATGGCCAACCCGAAAATTTGGGTTGGTCCCAAAACCCCTCCTAACCCGATTCAACCTAACCCGTGAACAATCCGGAGTATATTCAAGCATGAAAGGTATCAAAATGAGTATAGCTCAATGGTAATTACACATATCTCAAATCAAGAGGCTGTGAGTTCGAACATCCGCCCCACAACATATTATACTTAAAAAAAAAACTTGAAAAAGGGTATGAAAGCAACAAAAATCTATTCCATCTTATCTGTGGAGGCAACTTGCTATCCACATATTAAAAAGAGAGAGAGCTTGATTTCCAGTTTCCCATCATTTTAATTTAGAATTATTTTTAAATAATGCATCATTGAAAAATACATTTTTGGGAAGATTGCAAAATCCCCCATGGGAGGATAAAAGCCAACTTGACAATGACCAATCAGCCCAGCTCGTGGCATCAGAATGATCTATTTTACTTGTTTGCGCAAAGAATTGCACCACACTATTTAACGAATCAAGCTCGAACCCGGTCCCCGGCTCGACCTAACCTTAAGAGCGAACCTGCACAGGAGGGTAAACACTTCGACGCTCAAGTTAGTATAGGTCGGATTCAATATTTAGCTCGAGGTGAGATTCGACACCTGAGCGTGAAATGAAGCCCTCTATTTATAGGTGGTGGGTCCGACAGTACTCACGACCGGCGGTTACTTTTGTCCTTTTTCATGTCGAACATGTCGGGTTTGAACAGATCGAACCCGTCCAGGTCAGACCGGGGCTTTTTATACTTAGCCCCCACGATGGGTGAACCCAGTCTCCTCGGTAGGTTCGAGGTGGACCTGGTTATACCTTATTCCTTAAACACCAATCAGCATCCTCCACGTGTCTCAAGTATTTTTACCCCCAAACATTGGCCCCCTCTATGTCAGGTCCGATCTCGACTTGACAGAGAAGTTTATCCGACTCAATTTTGGACACGTGGCGACCTCTAATTCATAGAAAGAATGTAACCGTTGTGGAAGACGTTTCGATCTGCCAGGCTGTCGGAATACTCAAGTATTCCGTCGTTACGAATCTCGAGATGATCCCAACCGCTCGTTCAATACACGTGTACAGCGCAAAGATTTTTCCAATTAGCTATAAATAGTTCCGGGACTTTAGGTCAAACCTTACGTTCCCTGAATTTCTGGTGTGCGGGTTCATTAGCAGTGTGAAGCGCAAGTCTAAGGGTCGTGCTCACGCCCTTAAGACTGTTCAAAGCACGGAGCCAGAGACTCCTGCTGTGGCTCAGCCTGCGGTTCAAGACAAGGCTGGGCTATCTTCTGAAGTTCCAACTCCGGTGATCGAGTTGGACTCTGCTGGGAACACTCCAGAGAAAAGCGCTCGAGGAATTAGTCCGAGGCGCTAGACGTGTCGCCTCTGCGCGAAGTGAGGGAAGACTCTCCTTTGAAGAGGAGAAGGAAGAAGAAGAAAACCACC